TTAATACCAGTGACACGGTTGTGAGTAGCGCAGGGATCATCTGGAGTCCTGCTTTTCCCTTAATATTTGAAGGGACAAGCCTGGCTTGAAGTTTCCTCGACCGATTGTAAATTGTTTATATAGGTATGTGTTTTTTTTTTTTTTTGTAATTTACTTATCTATATGTTGTTTTATTTTTATTTTGTAAATACATTCTGATTATTTTTTAATTATTATTTTGCTTCTGTTTATTTTGTATTTTCTGTACATACAGTGTGAATGTATAGTCTGTGGTACAGATCCCTTTGTATTAAAGTATTAACATCCTTCTGAAACTTCTTGAATTGTTTCATCTGATCGTAAGCTACAACTATTTCATTTACGAAAACTCTTGGAATTGGGGCGCTTTCAATCTGGAGGTTGACAAACTTTGTTTATTTAATTAGGTAATAAAAACTCGTAAATACCCATTTTCTTTTCAATCGAATCGTAAGATAATTTGATCGCAAAATCGAGGAAAATATAGCCTTCAAAAATACCTACACCCCTTGAATGTCCAAATATTTATGTAGGCCAAACGGTCCAATGTTTTTGTAGGCCCCCTATTTTCCTCGATTTTGTGATCAAATTATCTTACGATTCAAGTGGAAGGCAAATGGGTATTTACGAGTTTTTAGTAGCTAATTAAATAGAGAAGGCTCACCGATCTCCAGAAACGCCCCAATTCCAAGAGTTTTCGTAAATAAAGTATCAGTCGGTTTATTTACATTTCTAATTCAGCAGTTCTTTCTCATTATCAGTTCCTACTTCATTGACATACTATCCAAAATAAATCACAATAACGACTATTTATCTCTCTTTCCTCAGTCTGCTAGTGTTCCTCAATAGAGAAGATTTACCGATCCCCAGATTGAAAACGCTCCAATTCCAAGAGTTTTCGTAAATAAAATAGTTGTAGATTACGATGAGATGAAGCTATTTAGGAAGTTTCAGGAAGATGTTAATAATTTGATAAAAAGGGGTCTGTACCATGGACTAGTAGTCTTACCTCACTATAATAATGTTCCACATGACCTAATATTATATTATTCAATAAATACAGTTTTAAAAATAGGTATGCAAAAATGTTTGTGTCATTTTTATTTTCTTTATTGACATGTAGTGATTATATTAATTAGTTTTTGCATTGATAAATACAACCGGAACGTAAAAAAACATTCTTTAAAGTTTTGCACAGTTAAAAATGGACTTCGACGTCTTCAGGCTAATTTGGGCAAATATCATTCTAATTTACGTAGAGTGATCATCATTCACTAGAAATTTCAGTTCCGTGTGTCGATAACTTTTTAAGTTATTGAAACAGAGAAGCATTGGGTAATACATCTGAAAATTTTTCCCTCACCAACAGGGGTACCCAGAAGAGGGTTTCATGGCGCCATCAAATTCTTTGAGATAGGTACATTTTAACGGGTTTTTTAATTTTGACGAGGTTATGAATTTTAGGATTACGGGTAAAGGGCAAAAGCATAGAACATACCTCAGCAAGTGTACTTGTATATAATCTATGATTTTTCTAATTCTATCTTAGCTGCTCTGTTTTTAAGAAAAGGTGAGTAATAAAATATCTTGAGAGGAGGGGAAGGGTATAGGTCCTTACACCATCGATCTTGGGAGGGGAGGGATGGGCACCCCTGCTCACCAAGAATACCATACGCTGTACATAAGATTGTCATTTTGTGTAATCGAGACTGTCTAACAAGTTTTAAATAACGAAATATATAATATAAATATAAAATCACTCAAATGCGACTTTAGTAGGCCCCTTCCCAGCTTAGAAACCTGTCCTTGGAAAGCATTTCTCACATCCGATATCAATAACTTCATATCAGCTTGTTGAATGTGCGGAATAATAGATAGAACTAACTTGTAGTGCTGTAAAATATAATTTAAATGCATGCTGTGAAATAAATAGAAAAATTAAAATTGATTTACTCACGTTAAAATAATGACACCTCCCTAACTATTTATAGGAATGCAAAGGGAGAGGAAGGAGGAAGTATAAGTTAGACAGTAAACTGGAAAAATAAAGTGGAAGAAAACCGTGACAACCTTTAGATCAAGAGGAGTAGACAATAACCATGAAAGATATATACGTCAGGTAAAACAAGTGAAAATCCTTAATTAAAAAAAATGTATATTGCAATACTAATTTTTACATGAAATTTTATAGAAAAGATAAACATGATAGTTTTTTTTTCTCTTCAGATCTAAATCTGTCATTAAGTAAAAATAAATTTTTATTAAGAAGTTCAGCTGCTGTGAATTTGGAAAATCACATTTTAGGAATGAGGAAGAGTACATTTTAGTACACAACAGTACCTCTACTCGATCAATATTTTCTTGCTTAATTCGGAAAAGAAGCTCCCTCATACAGCTCCTTTTCAGTCGCCTCAAGATGGGCTTGTCAATTGTGTTCATGTTCTTTATAAGTATATTGTTATGTGCGTATACTTTAGTATGAAATCGGGAGTAATAGTACGTATGTGTTTGTTGATAGTCGGTATGTAAAGTTCTGTTGTTCACGTACCAGAAAGCTACTGTTGATAGTCTAAAAAAAAAAAAAAGGTGTCGTTAATGCGTCATTTTTAATGAACCGAAAATTTGTGAGGCGTATGCCCATAGTACGTAAGTGTACGTATTTATTGTAAGTCTGGTTTTCAATTTTTATTTGAAAAAAAAGTGAATATAGTACTTCAGTCGCTTGATTAAAGTATTTGGTTTCATTTTGACATATGGGTCCCAGGTCATCCTTCTGTCGAATATTATTGTGAGATAACGTACAATGACCGTCTGAGGAATTTTATTGTCGCCTATATAAACTGGTGGGCTTGTGTTTCGTCGAAGGGTAAATCTACTTTACCATAGTGAATACCAATTTTGTTCCAGTGAGGTTAGTCTGGGGTCTTGGTATTTTCTTAAAATTGTTGTATCGTCAGCGAAAGTAGCATTCAATGTTTCGGAGTTGGTAGTAACTCTGTGTAATTAGTGAGTTGTTGAGTGAAGTGTCAGAAATGTACAACAAGATGAATGGATGAATAAGATATCAGCCGGTTTATTTCCATTTTTAATTTAACAGTACTTTTTCATTATCCGTTCCTACTTCCTACTGACATACTATTCAAAATAAATCACAATAACGACTATTTTTCGCTCTTTCCTCAGTCTACTGGTGTTCCTCAAGATAGTTTCTTGGTCCCATACTCTACATAATTTTTAAACCATATATATGTAGGCTGTTGACACGTATTGACACATGCTTTCAGTCAATAACGACCCATTATTCTAAAACTTCAAAAAGATATTAACAGAATAAGTGCTTGGGCAAACCTCAACAGGCTCACTCTGAACGCCGAGAAGACAAAAGCCATCTTGATCGGATCCCCCTCACTCCTCAAATTCTACTCAGTATCTCCCAATTTCCTCCTGAACAACTCACCTATCTTATTCCACACCACCGTTAAAACCTAGGTGTTACTTTTGATCAAACCCTATCCTGGAAACCACTCATCTCCCAAATTTCCCGTCGCATTATCTCCACCCTAAAACAGTTCAATCGTCTACGTTATCACGTTCCATATAAGTCCCGTAAACTCCTAGTTTCCTCCCACTTCGACTATGGCTGTATGGTGTACAGTGAACTCTCGGGAGATTTCGAGGCCAAACTTAAACGTCTAATGAATTGCGGACTACGATTTGTTTTCGGAATCTCAAGAGGAACGCATATAACCCAGTATTACACCGAGTTGAGGTGGCTCTACCCATCCTATCGCCGTCAGTACTTCCTAGCTAGCTTTCTGTACTAGATCATTAGAAGTCATCGAGACTCCTATATTTTTCATAGCTTGCAATTCAAATACTCCATCCAATCCCGTTCCACTAGATCTCGCACTTCCAACCTCTATCCTCCTCACCGAACTGCTGCGTTTGACAAATCCTTTGCAATTCAAGCCGCCCCCTCTAGAATTCCATCCCTGCTGATATTCGACACGCTCAATCAGTTTCCTCTTTCAAACCTCTCCTCTTTGAACCACTACTCCTTTCTCAATCCGACTGATTACGAAATATACCTAAGAGAAATATCTAAGCACCCCCAGAGACTACCTCAATTTATTTAGGTTATTTTAGTTTCTTATATATATGTACAATTTTCTTGTTCTTTTTTTTCTCTTCTTCAGTATTTTTATTTTTAGTCGAATCTTCTTGTAAATATATAATCTAATTGTGACCACACAGACATACAATCTGTACTTATAATTTGTTCTAAAAGGACAACAGTCCCAGAATAATAAAATATTTTTTCATTTTCATTATTTGCACCACACTTCCAACGCATATAAAAAATCTGGTGTCGAAACATTAAAACTGATTTCAACAAATCACCTTTGCCATTCTTCGTAAAATTATGACTTGCTGTCCTACAGTATCCTTTAATAACATTCAGTATATTCCTGTTGAACAGATCCGCTATTTAAGACTCCACCTAGACAAACGCCTTATCTAACGAATCCTCATACAAGACTGAAACGACAAGAAACTGCACGACGTTTCCGGCTACTAAAACGCTTACTAGACAAACACTCAAAATTTCAAATTAGCTATTGAGAATTCGTTTACTGGACTACAATAGAGCAAATTTACACTTATGGGGTTGAGCTTCGCTGCTCCATAAAACCACCGAAGTTCTTCCGTCGTTAGTGAGAAAGCAAAAACAAATAATGCAAACAGGACTTTTTCCAAACCAACGTCGATTATTTATTTATATAGTTATATAGATCATCAGAAGAACCATAGATATTTGCCTCGTGTTGACAGAGTACTCAAGATCGTCGACCTTAAATAAAATCTGTGCGGTAGCTCTCGGGAGACTAAGTAGGTAATTGATGAAATGTAATGAGGAAGAAGGAAGGTGGAGAGGGGGGTAGGGGCCCAGAGGCAATCCATTCACGCGGGGGCCGGCTGGCGCGCGCGTTCGAACATCTTCACGCCACTATCACAGGCAGGGGCGTACACCATGAGTGAGTAAATAGCCCCGCTTATATCCAATATATACATATCTCTAAAATATACGAAATCGTTAGAAACGTTTCAAGTATCAGTTACAGGGCCAATATTAGTATTGAGTGCAATATTTTTTTTTTCTGACCCTCCAAAACGTTTCTTTTAATAAATTACATATAGAAGTATAACAATACTAATATATACATATAACAAAGTCCTTCCACTGTCCGAGGGCATTTTAAGGATTGGGGTTTATGAGCAAAATTAGTTTTTTTTCTCACATATAGCTACGCACAACTCGATTCTGCCGCGAGATCTTGCCTATTTAATTATTTTCAAAACACCAGTTCTAATTTTATAAAATTTAGTAAAAGCTATATTGTGCAGTTCCATTTTCTAAGTAGTTTTATAAGGTCTTTTTAGTCGCAATAAATAACAAACGTAATAATATATACTAAAAAAAATAAGATTTGAAAACGTAATTGATTAAATATACTAAGTATAAATATTAATGGTACTGAGACAAGAGAAAAACTCTGGAGTCTCAAGCGTGGATGAGATTTTATTTTTATTTTTATGTAGTTATTAATTTCTGATTTTTTTTTCTTTCTAATAAATTTTATTTATATATGCTGTATTTATATGTGTACAGATACTGATAAATTGTATTCATAATTACTCTTTAAGCGTTCTTTAAAAATGAAATATTCATATGTAAAGTAAACTATGTTCGAAACATGATTAATTGCTAATTGAACTTCAATAAAGCAGAAAATTTCATCTGGGCCATGGACCAAATAAAAGAGTAAATTTGGAATTTTGTGTTTTTGAGGTAGACATTTTTTTTTTTTTTTTTTGTTGAATAGGAAGCGATAACCAAAATATTTTTCTAGTTAGGTAATTTCTCTTTGCAGGATTGTCAACTAAAAAACATTTCATTTAAAAATAATTAGAATTTATTTTAGTCAGAACCATTTTAAGATAGCTTCCAAGTAGGTAAATCAATAATTTTCTCTTCATTTCTTTTTTTTTTTCTTCAATCTTTTCTTCATTTCTTTTGTTATAACAAATTTCAGCTTGATTAACATGAGTTAAGCTTTTCTAAAAGTGGGAAATTTGTAGTTCAGTAGGAGTGGTGAAAAAAAAACCTTAGGAACAATGACTTAAGAAAAAAACAAATATAACTTATTGTTATTTATCCTCTTAGGAACATCATCAAACAAATTTTATTTAGTTTGCGATACTGTAATATAGAATTATGTAAATTTAATTGTTGTAGACTATTCAAGAAAAATCTGACACCCTTGAAAAACATAAACTTTTAAAATTACTCTTTTCATGTTCGGGATTTTACCATAGCCCAGATTTTTTAATATAAGAGCTGTGTTTATAGCTTAAAAAAAGATATTGTCTTGAGTACTAATAAATATTAGTAATCTTAGGAATAATATAAGGTTAAATTGAACATTAAAAAATTAATCATAGAGAAAAATATATAAAAAACCGGTGAGAGACATGATTTAATTTTTCGATTAACAATGGTCATATTTAATTACAGATATAAGTGTAATCACCTCATTTTTTTACTTCAATGAGTTTTGTAGTTATTCTTCGTAAATAAATCCTTCCATTTAATGATTGTTGCACTATTACCATTACCATTTAGTTTTGTTTTTTCATATTAACTGTTGGCTATAGGTATGCTATAAGTCAAAAAGTTAAAGAGCAATTACTCTTTTAAAGGTAGATAAGTTCGGATGATTAATTAATTGTGATTAAACTTTTTAAAAAATACCAATAATTGAGTTTGCATTTGATCGAGAACTGGCTGACTCTTTGTCGAAAATTATTTTATTGAAATAATGTCTATTTTTATTTTGCACGGCCAATTGAATTTATTTAGGAACATATTATATGATATGTTTATATGTTATAACATATAATATTTTTTAAAGACATAATGGTTAACAGGACGGAAGTGGCACAAGCAGAGGAAGAAAATAAAGATGAGATCAGGAGAGGAGGTAGTAACCTGAAAGTGAACCTACCACCCGAGCTAGCCTCCATCAAAAAGGTAAATAAATATAATTAAGGATTTTTTTTTTTAATTATGAATAAATATTATAAATATTTTTGCGATTCAAAACTATAATTTAGAAAATCATAGAAGGCCTCTTTAGATAACTAGAAACAACTATGAAGACGATACTATATCAACAATGATCTAACATGGTCAGCTTTATTTTATTCAGTAGTCTGATATTTAATTCTGATTATGTTTTAATATCCTATTATAACCCCTTGTGCTCTATGTTAACTATTTTTTCGGCTGATTCTGTACAGACCTTTGTTGGCGTATAGAAGTCAAATAGTTCAATATAATTGTGTTAAAGCATATCGTCGATTTGTAGCAAATAGTCGCTGAGTACATATTTTAAAGAGCTAAACTTTTAAGAATCTTTTTGAAATGAAAAATAATTTTATTCTAGGACTGAAGTCCCATTAGAATAACGGCAGCATTCAAAAAATATCTATCGATCAGTCTGGCATGTTGATATAATTCAAATATATACAAAGAATCCAAAGAAAAATACACTTATATAAAAAAGATATTGAGAGAAAAATAGAAGTAGAATGGCTCTTATCAATTAATTCTTGGCAAGCAATTATGATTACATAATCTAAAAATTACTACAAGCCTTCGGAAGTTTCAATGTGTAGTAGGTAAAGAGATAGGAATTGTTTGAAGGAATTTGTGAAAATGGAGATAGGTAAGGAGTTCCAAAAGGTGTTAGAACGAATGACGAATGATTTGCTAAAGAGAGTAATTTTAATGGAGCAGAGGTGCCCATCTCCCACAAGGCCGATGGCGCATGAACCGTCCCTCTTGCCTCCCCAAGGTATTTTATTGCTCTCCTCTTCTTAATAATATCAGAAATAAAAGTACCGTAAATCATATAAAATTACACTTTTGTAGTTACACGAGATTGTTCTATGTAGTCCCTTTGTCTTCTTGTTTGAAGCTTTTCAATAAGAAAACTCATAACTCCGTCCAAATGTGTCCCCCTCAAAAATTCAAAATTCCGTCAAACTGAGCCTCCTCAAAAAGTGTGATGAAACATCCTTGTGGGCACATCTGTATAGGAGGGAATATATAGATCTATAGGTTGAGATCTGTTATTAAGAGAGTGGATAGAGGAACGTAGAGTAAGGAGTTCTAAGATGTAGGGAGGATTTTTGGTTCGGAGGACTTGGAAAAGAAAAATAACAAGAAGGAATTGTCATCGGAAAGTACGATAGAGCCACTTCAGCTCGGTATATAAGCAGGAAACATGGCAAGGCCTGGGGATCCCAAAGATGAATCTTGTGGATTGCTTTATGATTCTCTTCAGTCTTTTCTCCAGTCTTTTGGACAGATCTCCATACACGTTTTCGTGTTTTCATTTCACCAAGAGAAAATTCATCAAAGTTCTTAGTGATATAAGGTTACGAAATGTCACATAATGACGATATGGTGGGTTTTTGAATACGAAGATAATTTTGTATAATAGTCAAATAGATTCTGTGATAATTTTATATTTCTCACAAAATAAATCTAAATTTTATTATTCTGGATCCTGAGTTATTATGAATAGTCGAAGAGGAAGAAGATTCAATCCATCTAGGATGCCAAGCCGATGAACAGATAATCACAGAGGAAGGCAAAGATTGAAATAAAAGCATCTCCGTGGCTTTTCCGTATACAAAGAAAATATAGTCCTTTGAGAGCCAAGAAGTCACCGTTTAATACTTGAAATAGAACTAACATGATAAACCAAAAAATATTGCGAAAAAATGGTTCAGAGTTCAAAAATCTTTTCAATGGAAAGAGAACTTAAGTTAACATATAGTTTAGGACCTCTCTGCTTTATTTTCTTCTTGAATGAGTTTATTAAGAACGTTAAAATAAAAACAATCAGAACTCATATCAGTCATTGTAATATGTGTTAGCTATAAGTAATGATATAAACCCATCATCTTTCTAATCATTAACTTTACATACAACCTCCTAAAAGCTCTGGTGGATTGAAGGCGAAAATTGTTAGGAAGGACTTGTATATAAAAAATAAGGTTCTTCATGGCTGTATAAGTCAACGTGACCTCTGGAGATTGCATTGGAAAAAAATTGGAAGCTGGAACAAGAAATATTCGACAGAATTGGAATTAAAGTGAAAAATGTGTACTGTTCAATCTGCAGCACAGTTGTAGGATCGAGAGATGTAGGCAAAATGGCTAAGCACCACACGCATGCCCATCTATTGTGGGGAGCGACAAATTCTTCGTAAAGTGGAGCGAACCAACAGCATCAGAAATGAAGTATCTTTGCTGAATAGCTTATAAACGACGGTGGGGTGGAAGGAGTAATGAGATTGTTAGACAAGAATGGGGGAAGTTAACTCTTTTTTTTCATTTTTACCAATTCGACATCATGGCCATTAAAACCATCTCTGTTAATTTAGGTTGTCAATAAAAAAATCGAAAGTGAAATACAACGATTATCACACATCCTGATTTGGTGTGTTGCTGGTTCGACAGTTAAGTTATATTAAACCTCTTATATTATAATGGTTTATAATAATTGTTGGTATCCATAAATAAAATACACCATACCATCATGAGGAGTTCCTTCAGAGGGGTCGAAATACAAGATTTTCAACTCAGGTCTGAGAACTGATACGGCGATGTATGCACAAAATATGCGTGAAATGAATACGCGTTGTATGAAAGGCTTTCTTCTTGTGTTCTTTTCCACTGTTGATCGTTTTGTTTCGAGGCATTTGTCATCCAACGTGTTTTCGTAATCCTTTCCAATGAGGCTAAAAATAAAATTAACATTAGCTATAGAAGTGGAAAGATGAGAAAAAATTACTGTTGGAAGATTTGTGCAAAGTATCAACACCAAGCCTTAATCTACATATACCTAGTTTTGCCATAAATACTGTTACAAAAGTTGAATATTGTTTACATCATTGGGTATTATTCAGATAATCCTTACATTTATCAGTTTATTTTCTTTACATGTCAGGGTAATAATCCCAATTAGTTTGTATTTTCTAGCATATTATATCATAGCATTATCCTAGGAAACGGACAGCTAACACGGTCAAAGTTTACACTAGTCACACCAATATTATGGCGATTAGACTGTTTGAGATTAGAAGCAGTCCCGAGCACAGATAAGACAACTGTATACTCCTGTGGGATCGAACTAGAGAAAGGAAGACTATGCAAGATATGAGGACTCTTGCGATAAAGTGGAACAATTAAAAAAAAAAAAAAAGGAGATGAGACTTTTCATAATTTTTTTTTTTTTTATTGAGTATTATAAGAATCTGTCTCTTGGACATTGGTTATAGTGAGGTATTCACACTATATGTACAAAAAACAAAATAAATAGAACAAAATAACAATCAAAAGTATATACAATAGATAATAAAACAAAATAACCTAAAAAACAAGAAAATTAAAACTAAGAAAAAAAAAACACATGCATACCTATATACAATCAGGCGAGGGAACTCCAGGAGAACCCTGCGCTTCTCTCCCAACCGCGTCACTGGTACTAAAGCCAGCGGAGATTGGTCGAGAGCACTTTAGCCACATACACTCATGTCTTGAGTGAAGACATATATTATATAAGACCATTGCCAGAACTCCAATAACTGTTTGAGATAACGGTTTTAAACACCAATCTATGTATAAATTATTTTTTTATTTATTAATAGATTGGTGTTTAGCAGCTAGTCCGTCTTCAGAGCTGCTGAATTAAAACTGAAACGCAATCACAATTGAAAAATAACAGAATGAAAAACCCCCACACTGTGGGAGTTTAAATTAAAATTGGTTGGTTTTAAAATTGGAAAAGGGGGGGTTTAAATTAGCAGCGATAGAAACTGTGGGCGCCACAGCAGTTTCTATCGCTGCTGATTTAGTTAATTGAGATGTTAATAATTTTTTTATTTTAAAAGCATCTTTATACATGATTCTAATTAGAAAACAATAGAACATGATACTTTCTTAGCAGTTATTTTTCAACCCGCTGTAACGAAATGGTATAAATTTATGCCAAAAATTAGATTAAATCGTATAAGTTATAAATTACTTCTTATTGGAATTGACTTATTTGTATTGTGGGACAAGGACTTTCATTATCTTGATTATGTCTACTTCTGAAGTTAAATAACCATTTGTTGGTAAATGTTAATCCTACAGAAAAAAATCTCCCTTCCCTAAATTTCTGAATGCTTCATGTAGCATCTGAATCCAGCATTCATTACCATTGCCAATTTAAAGTGATATAGTATTATTACTTGAATTTTTTTTTAATATATTCATAAAAACGTAAATTGCAAAATTTATTTGATCACCTAATTCTTTAGCATCAATAACCGAAAGTGAGTACTATATTAAAAACACTGGTACATAATCACTTTCAGCTTTTATTTGTTGTTTTCTATAGAAAAAAATGGGGAACGTTAAAAAAAATAAATAAATAAATTTGTTTTCCTTTCTTTGTGGACCCAGACCCTGTTCCAAATTATTTTGTTTTTCGCAAATGAGGTGTAGAATCACCTCCAGGTCTATGTTCCGGTATCTTGGAACAGTATCTTTATTTAATGATAGTTTTCACTCTTATTAACTTAGCTTGTATTCTTTTTCATCCGTCGTCATCTGCTATTAAAAATTTTAAAAAATCTGTGAAAATATCAGTATTAAATCTCAGTCAGTTTTAAATATCAAGGAGTTAAAACAAGAAAGTGTTGAAAGTAACAGCTATTCGTCATATTTTTCTCTTTATACTATTTTTCCGGATTATATAAAATTGTTTCAACGTTTTCTTCGGGCCCAAATTCGATTCGTCGAGGACTCTGAATGTAACAAATAACTAAGTAAATATATAACAGGAACCGATGAACATAATTATCGGAACATGTCAAAGAAACGCTGGCTTACTGTGCCACATAATTTAAGCTACAAATTAATTATAATGAAAAGTTCCATCTCTCTGCAATAATCCAATTTAAATTCGTTAAATATAGAACGTTTCTATCAAATAACAGTTTAGCAGTTAAAAATCATTTTCGATTGTTAATAAAAATCAAATGTTTTTTTTTTAATTCATTGAGCCTAATTTTTTTAATTAATTTGAGATTCAAGGGTAGCTTTACACCTGAGCCTGTAAGCTTATTGAGGTAAATCCAAACAATACCTACATTTTTTTTTTAATTGAAAACTTTTTTAGGCGCGTTATGCACTTTGTGAAGATTGAATTAGATTGAGCCGTCAAATCTCCGATGTGTGAATGCTCGGTTAAAGTCGGCAGGAGTCGACTAATTGAAGTGTTTTTGTATATGGATTAAAATACTCGCAAACTTCGGACCTGCATACTGTAAGCGAGGGAAATGATCATCATTTCATCCTCTTTGTAATGAGCTATTATTCAAAATTGCATCACAACGCGACTCCGTGTTAGGGAGAACAAAAATACTATAAAAAACAAATGATAACGAATTTTATTGAAGATCTGGATTATAATATCTCAAAAATTAAAAATCAGACTTGCATACCGTAAGAGAGGTAAATGTTCAGCATTTCATCCCCTTTAAAATAAGCTATTATTTACCATTTATATTTCGTATTGTTAATCTCGCCTTGCTATTTTCACTTCTATCGTGTGTTATAAAGCACACACCATTGTTTTGTTTTTTTTAAATAACGACCTATTGTTTATGTTTAATTTTTTTTTTACTTCTAATATAGTTTAGTAACTAAAATTATTATGATTACAGCTAGTATGGGACTGGATGAGGACGAACCTACTTCTGTCCCTCACCGTCCTGGGAGTCCTGCTCGGTTTGTTCTTCGGCTTCCTCGGGAGGTTGGGCAACTTCTCGGAAGGAACCATTCAGCTCATATCATTCCCCGGCGAAATACTCATGCGACTCCTCAAAATGTTCATCTTACCTCTAATCATCTCATCACTCATTGCAGGTAAGAGATCTTTAATTGGAATCTGATTACTTAATACCAGTATTATCATAGTTGGGTGAGACTAAATTTACAGACCATTAAATAACGAAACCATTAAATAAGTATTATTAAATAAGTACCTTATTAAATAGACAAAGTTTGTTCATCTCCAGAATGAAAAAAGCTCCAATTCCAAGAGTTTTTGTAAATAAAATAGTTGTAGCTTACGTCGAGATGAAGTTACGAATACGCTTGAAGCTCGTATTCACGAAATTTCAAGCGGATGTTAATAATTTGATAAAAAGGCGATCTGTACCACGGACTATTCATTTATAGGTCACTGAGGAAAATGCTAAAAGTTGTCATATATTTTTTTGTTTTTTTTTTAAGCTATCCAATTTGGTTTAAAATATTTACATGTACCAAGTCTCCCTTACCTTGTCTATGTCTACCACATCAATTTCATTTGAGTAGTTCTAGATATTAAATACAGTTATTACAATTTCTCTCATGGACAAGATAATATTTCTACCAAAATCTGTGATCATCTTACAGTTCTCCTCTTAAATACTATCTCTGGACCCGCTTTTGAATGGTTTACATCTTAATTTTAAACCCTGTAATATATTTAAATAATTATATATCATCAGTTAACGAATCGGAGGCAGTGGAGACTTTATAAGTAATGCTTTTATTCATAAAGTTACAAATGCCATCTAAAATATAGAGTAATATACTATGGGTTGACTACATGAGTTCACTCCAGGTCTCCTGCAGTAAAGAGTATGACTCAAAAATGCAACTGCATGAGTGATTAGTCCAGAGAAGGATGGGAATAAGATACCCAAGAATAGTAGGGAGGGTGAAGGAAAGTGTGGGAGAAGTCGGAAGAGGACGGCAAAGAAAGTTATCAATAGTTGATATTCTTAAGATGTCTGTGAGAAAGTGCCCTTGGCTGAAATCAGTTATTTTTTAGTATTGATATGAGAGAAAGGGACCTTTTTCTGCAATCTGTTATTGTCCCCCAATATCTTTTGTTGATAAAGGGTCTTATTGTGTCCCGTCAGTACATTCTAGATAACTATTTCTAAGCTATCAGAGATAGCTTGAAATGGCTATCTAGGGCTTTGTGCTTTTATGATTGGCATATTAAATATTAAGTTATATATTAATAGAAGTTAAATTAATATTATCATTATTAATATTTGTTATGGATTAAGTCCATTCCATAACTATCGAGTAATTGTGAAAAGTCTTAAGTAAGATTTTAGAAAAATAAAACAATAACTAATTTTAAGCGGATGTTAATAGTTTGATAAAAAGGGGTCTGTACTGAGGACTATTCATTTATAGGTCAATGAGGAAAATGATAAAAGATGTAATTTTTTTTTTTTTTTTTTTGTAAGCTGTGTAATTTTGTTTAAAATATTGACATTGCTTTATTGTCCTGTTGAAGGTATGGCTCAACTGGACGCACGCTCCTCGACGAGGATGGGACTCCGGGCCCTGGCTTACTACATGGTCACAACCATCCTGGCGGCTATAGTCGGCATCATCATGGTCCTGATAGTCCACCCGGGCAACACAGACATCAAGCAGCACGTCAGCGCAAGGCCGGATGAGACTAAAGTATCTACATTAGATGCCATACTCGACATTATACGGTCAGAATTAACAATGAGAATTAATGATTTTACTACTGGTAGAAATATTTAATTTCGTTGAATAATCTAGTACAAAAATCTTAGTAATACTTAATAATAATAATAATAATATTTTATTTATTCTGGGACGAATCCGTTCAGAATAATTAACAAGGGCAAAAATGTGGGCTTTTGAGCCTCAGATATATATACATGTATTTACAAAGTTAATTAATAGATATAATACAAAATATAGAAAAAAAAAATCTTCTAGATTAAATCAATTAAGAAAAAAGTAAATAAATGAAAGAACAATGAGATGAAAATAATTGAAAATAAACTAATAATATATATATACATATTTACAGAAGTTTCTATTCGGGAGATATTGGATACATGGTTTTTACAGGAAAGGGTTTGATCGAAGATTATTCCAAGTTTTTTGATGGTGGGATAAAATTTGATGGGATTATCATGTAGGAACAAGGTTTGAATGTTAGGAACAGTTTTGAGGAGGTGGTTGGAGCCTACTTAGAAAGTATAATTTAACTAACACCAATTAGATCGATAGTTTAAAAAAATATTTTCTATGAAAATCTTCTAAATTAGACTAGTAAACGTTTGGGACAACCGTTCCTCACTGTTCATTAAAATATATAAAAATCTGTTACGGTGTGCTCATCAAACGACTTTTACTTACCACTCTACTTACAGTAGAAATTGATATTTGCATAATTAGTGGTGTAAAAGTGAAAATTATAGACGTTATAACATGTTCATTCAATTGTTTAATAACATGTTTTTTTCACCCATTAAACATGTTCAATTTATACGTTAACATCATTTTCCGTTGAATTTTCGACTTTATGTAATATTTAATAATAAAAATGATTGTGGGTAAATATAGATCTTTTGGGAAAAGTTTCAACTTTATTGGAAACATCTATCACAAAACTCTTTGAAAACTGATTTAACATTAGAACACATTATATATTATATAGGTTTATATTAGACAAGAAATCCTCAACATTTCACATGAAAATCTTCTATGAAAATCATTTAAGGGAAATGTAACAGTTTAAATAACAATATAAATGGCCTGTGCATTTATAGATACCCAGTATTGCTCTATGAGGTAACTGTAAATGAAGAGAGAGGGATCGTCAAAGATCGGGCGTTCCCGTCTGTCCTCGTAGATTTTAGTACCCAACCCTAATTATTCATTTAGTTAATATTGAAAATTTTTCATTTTTTTATATTTAACCATTATTTATAATCAGTTACAATGTGAAATAGTTATTTTTTTTTAAATGAATAAAATTAAAGATTCTTAGAGAAAGAAATTATGAAAATTCGACATTTAAGTCATGTCATACTGTTTTAATAAACATAACACCTGCCTGATAACATAAGACGGCTTGATTTTGCATTGATATAACGAGTTTAATTAAAATTGTTATTGCTGCTTTTGAGAAAATTATAAAAATGTGTAAATTCTATTTTACAGGTTGTCTCAGTTCTTAATAGATAAACTCGAGGGAGGAAGGTGATCCTAGACAAAATTTTCAACCGAAAAATTCATTTGATGCATGGGCCGATTCCGGACGTAAAATGAGTTACGACCAATTTTGTATTGATTTTTTTAATTTGGCTACTTTTTTTATTGAATAAGAAGGAATTGCTCAAAAACTGTTCAAGATAATTAAATTGTAAGTACATGAACGTAAAGTAGACAACATTTTTTTAGAAGTGATTAAATTCGTGAAGACAGTGATTAAATTTACTAAAGCCAATGATAAAAGAGATGGTCTATTACGGCCGCTGTCCAGAGATATACTTCTCGTGTATGGAAACTGTAAATGCTAGTGTTCCCCAGAATCGGGTTTGCTCTTGCACTTTGCAAGACCAAGCCCAAGGCTGCATAACTGTTGCAAGACCAAGACCATGACCAAGACTGAATTTGCAAGACCCAGACTCGTCTCGGTCTCGCATTTGGGGAACACTAGTAACTGCAGCAGTACAGCGGCCGTATTAGACCTCCTGAAAGTCCATTTTATCAGTGACCTTAGTAAATTTAAAGCCTCATTTATCATTGATCTTATTAAACTTAATCACGGTTTTTTTTTTTAAATATTGTCTACTTTACGATTGTGCACTGAGAATTTAATTATCTTGTACAGTTTTTGAACCATTCCTTTAATAAAAACCGTGTCTACCTTAAGAAAAACACAATTTTTTGGATATTCCCGAGCCAGGGGGTGTGAGCGGGGATTTAAAAGACTCCCCCGTCACCGGGATGCGAACTCACTCGTGACTATGTTTATATCTTTAATTCATATATCTGGTTGCCGGACAAAGGCGGTGCAGTGCACACGCTTTAGCCGATTCGGCCACCCCGCCCACACACAAAATTTATCTTAACTCCTTTTACGTTCAGAATTGGCCCATGCGTCAAATGAACTTTTTTGCTGGAAATTCTGTCTAGAATTACAGCCTTCCTTCCCCCCCTCCACCCTCTCTCCCCCAAGTTTGACCATTAAGAACTAAGACACCCTGCATAAAGAACTACTTCTGATACGTTGATTCTGACAAAAAAAACTGCTGTTGTTAAAAAAAATCCATTTTGAATCAATCCATTAATACCTACTTGCCATTTATGGAATCAGAATCTACTAATTTAATAAAACTATTTCAGTTTTCATTTTATTCACTTCCTACTATTTTTTATAATACTGATGAATCCAATGCCCTCGTTAGGTTAGGTTATTGTAACACTTTACAAGACCGCTTAAACTATTATTTAAACAATTAATAAGAAATACTTTATTTCAGATATTTATTGCTAATAATAATATTTTTACTACTTTTATTTCATTGCTAATAATAATATTTTTACTACTTTTATTTCATTGCTAATAATAATATTTTTACTACTTTTATTTAATATTATACTACTTTTATTTTTAATACATTATTTCAGATATTTGTTGCTAATAATAATATTTTTTTTATTTTAATTGGATTAATTAGTAGAAGGTAAATTTTTTTTGTAAATCAAAAGGAAAAATATATGGTATCGTAACGTAATCTAGTTCGAAAGGAAACATTATGCGCTTAAGAGTAAAATATGTAGTGAATAGAACATTCGTACTAATTGATTTCAAACTATCATTTTTATTCTATAAAATCATTGGGATAATTTATTCCATATTTGTTGAAACATCAATTAATATATAGATGTATCTCTTTAAACATGTTTCAGAAATATGTTTCCCGATAATTTAGTGCAGGCGTGTTTCCAGCAAGTACAAACGACATATAAAAAGGTAACAAATTTCACTGATACCTGATAAGTAGGATACACTCAGAGTCTAATGGTTTGTCCAATAGGTAAAGCCGCTAGTTTTGGCCGATGATTCCAACATGACATTATCTCAGAATTCTTCCTATGTGATGAAACAACAACTTGTTTATAAGGATGGAACTAATGTAATGGGTAAGTATTATATGTATAAAGAATATGTTCAAAATCTTAAAGACATTTGAGAAGTAATCTTCTATTTCATTTCATTCATAAAAAAATGTATTAAACTAACCATATTTTAATGAGTTTAGGCGTTTTTCATCTTATGATTGGTTTTTCTTGTTCAAATTTTAAGAAAGAACATTATGAGCGAAAAAAACAACTCTCAAAAATAAGAATGATATTATTTTAATTTAACTATATATTATCAGATATGTTAATTTTAACATTCAACAATGATTTTCATAAAATGATTTTTATTCTTTTGTCAAATAAATCAGAGTTATTTTAGATATTAAAAAGAAATTTGTTTATGAATTATAAAAAAAAAAAAAAAATCTATTCATGATTTGATTGTTCATCCAAAGAAAAATAATATTTAAATACAATCCCTGGTCCTGTACTAGTCAATGTTTTCATAAGCTTAAGGAGTACCCGATTTTTAAGCCATATCAAGATAAAATTGAATACATTTTAATTATTGCATAATAATGTTGTTTTGTTTTTTCCAGGCATGATTGTGTTTTGTTTGGCTTTCGGATTATTCGCAGGTCAAATGGGACCAAAAGGAAAAGTTATAGTGGATTTCTTCGTTGTATTAAATGAAATTATTATGAGCTTAGTAAGCTTTGTTATGTGGTATGTTGTCAAAAATTAATTTGAATTTATAGAATATATAAACGTATAGTAACTACATTAATATTTGTAATATCAAGGCTTGACTTTTTATTACAGTTGCTCAGATAACACGGTCTTGTCATCCCCATCCCCACATATACTATTTTAGTAAGACTCGAAATCGGTTTTGTACCAAATATAAGCTCCTGTCCTGCTCAAATACCATAAAGGGGATACCGTTGGATTCAGAATTTCACAGGGAGTTAGCGAATCGTATTCTCCACTTTTGTTTTTCTTTCTAAAATAAATAAAGTCGATACAAACAGGGTTCAATACTGGAACGGTGGTAGATCTGTAGATGGATACGGAACAAATTGGACCTTGAAGATTTTGATGCATACACTAAGACCCGGATAGTTCCTCTGGAACTATTCGATCCTGCGTTTTTACGTTAGCCCGAAAACGCCCTATTTTCGAGATAACGCAAGGCGTAGGGTTCGCAACCACACAGCCTTACATTTTGGAGTAGTCTATGAAAGTTTCGTTCTTAAAGTACTCAACTCCATATGGACATGGCTTGATTCACGAATGTTTGGTAACTTCTTGGTAGCCTGCTGATGTGTAGATAACTTTGTTTCTGAATTTCTTGCGATTTTGAAGATTCGTTGGTTTGAAAAGATGAAACTAGAATTCTTTTTTCGTCTCGTGTTAAATTTTCCGAATAATTAAATCAATTCTCAATCACTCAATCTCATTTCGGCGGCATTGTATTTTTTTTTTTTTTTCAAGCCAATCTCCTTTTGATGTGTCGATGAAGATCCGATTGTTTTGAAGGCCGCTTAATATTATATTCTCACTTACCACTCTCTTCTTTGCTTCGTCTAGTTCCATGGTAAGCAGTGCCGACTTCAGAGCAGGGGAATCCGGGCAAGTAAGCTGGAAGTGCACGCCACTTATTATAAATTTCAAAAAAGAATACAAAGCGTATTAGAAAATTAATTTTAGCCTATTAATAAAACGCTTTATACATTCTATATTTACATGACCACTTTTCATTGAATATTTCATTACGTTTTTACGGTAATGACACAATCTCTATAATTTTTACAGTATTTTACATCAGAATTTGCTCGTTTTTAAATATAAAATTCCAGGTTTGTATTTTTTTTTTTTTTTCCTACCCCCCAGGAATTTCTTGGTTATAAATACAATATATATATAAATGTATATATACATAAATTTTCAAATTTCCAGGTTTGTAAAAAAGGCCATATAGAATAAATGAAACATCGTAGATTTCATTTTGTGGGATCAGAATATGTGCCAGGACAAGATTGATCAGAAAAGTTCATAACCTCATTTTCCAAAGAAATTGTCCTTACGAGCTTTTGCAGTTTGGCTGTAGATATATTCCTTGTCAAGCATAAATAAGTGGCATAAAAACGTGTTTTGAATAAATTTTCTCTGTTTAAGATGCTCTTTAAATAGGAAAAAAAACTTCAACTAGGAACTTTTGATAGGACAAATATAAATGTAGTTATTCATTTCTTATAATCCCTTAAATAATCTTGACCCTATTTTTCAACTTCTACCCTTAGAATTAAAGTTAGACATTTAACATTTGTAGGTTTCCATTTGTAGATTTAACATTTGTAGATTCTTGTATTCAAATCGAATAAATGATAGTATATTGTTAATAAACTGTTCTACTTTAAGGTTCTCTCCGTTTGGTATAATGTGTCTCATTTCTGGCAAAATAATGGGAATAGAAAATTTAGTAACAACTGCACAACAACTTGGAATGTACATGATCACAGTAATTTTGGGGCTGTTAGTTCACGCTCTGCTGACTTTACCTGGCATTTATTTCTTCTTAACTAGAAAAAATCCAGCAGTCTTTTTTAGAGGAATGCTGCAAGCATGGGTAACGGCCCTAGGAACCGCCTCCAGGTAATATAATTATCATTTATTGATAGAATAATGAAAAGTATCGTATAACGAATTTCTAGTGCATGTAATTTATTATAAATAGCCACAGCGTTCACAACTGAAAAATTTAAAAATAACATAAAGGTAGGTATCAGTTCCTATTTAAAGTATAATATACCAGGTTTTCTAATAAAAATAGAATTTTATCTTCGTTTTCTACTGACTCTAATAACATATAAATAAAAGAATTCGGAAGTAGAAATCATTACTATGCATTGCACAAAATATTTACAGAAAAGTAATTTATTATCTGCAAAATATTTTTCTACTAAATAAATTTGAGAAAGTAAAGGAGATAATTTAATTCACCACTTGGCTGCAGCCCCGGTCGTCGGATGAGATGCTTGGGTTCTAGCTAAAGAGTTCTTGACATAAGTTTCTGATGGTAGTTGTATAGTATGTTGTTAAGGTATCTGAAACTGATAGGATGTCTAAATCCTCGTATTGTTATTTGACACGTAGAATGGTGTGTCCACTATTTTTTTGGAGATTATTTCGACTGAAACAATTGCATACTCTCATTGGCATCTGCTCTTAGGGAATCTAGGGGCACTTGGAGAGGTGAGAGGGACAAAGTTCAGTGTAACATAATTATTTGAGTTATGCCCAAATGGCGTTTTCTTTCTTTACAATATCTTTATAATGATAATTTGAATGAAATGTCGAAATATACAGTCATTGTGTACAAATGTTTTATATAAAGAAAAAAAAAAGAGCCGTTTCTATATCCCTCTTACCTAACGGGTTTTATTAATATCTTATAGATGGTAAGCCTGTTGATTGAGGATAATTTGGAGAAGCAATTAAGTTACCTAAATCGTCTGTTACGTTTCAAGGGCATTTCAAGGCAGCGTTTTCGGTGAGGGGAGGGGGAGGGAGAATGAATAAAGGAAAATCTCAGGTAGATAAATGATTTCAAACTCTATAATATTATACTAAGTAAGTTACAGTAATTATAATTTTTTTTTTAATATGCCATTACCATTTATAAATATTTTTATATGAAACAATATATACATAAATCATAAACTTTAAAAAATATTAGTCAAATCAATTTTCTCGGAATTTCGGCAAACCTTTTTACAACCTCTTCTTTCAAATTAGTGATGGGATATTAAGAGCCCAATATCGATGTTGTCATCAATAGAAATATCGACTTTTACTTACCTATACCATCAAAATACCGGGCTTGAAATATCGAGAGTTAATATTTTCATCAATGTTTTAAGCATTTTTGAAAAACCAGTAATTTCTAAATATGAATATTAATATAAATATTGATTATCTAGCACAGGAGCGTATAAACAGATGGGTATGTTATTTTCCTCTGTAAATTAAATTTCTCTCTTAAAGCACTCCTTAGTAAAATTAATTTCCAGGTTCATTTTCATCTTCGTCATCCTCAGTTTTTATCCATTCAACCAATTATGCCTTCCATTCACACGTAGATCGGATTAAGCATAATATTTTTTTTTTGTATCCCACGTAGATTTTTTTGATAATTAATGACCTTGGTTTAAAAAGCTTAAAACTAACAAAGTTGGGTAAATTGAGCAATTATATTATTGGGCCACAAAAATAATTGGTTTGTTTTCGTTTATTTCTGCCTATTCTTGGCGCTTCTCCGATGGTAGCCCAACATAAATGTTTTTTACATTTTTATCGCCGTAGAATGATTGGGCCGCCCCCTCTTAGGGCCCCGAATTTCGTTATTTTGTATTTGCCTAATACCTTTGTATGTTTCGCACCAAAAATAATTACTTTGTATTTTTCTAGTACCCCAAAAATTATTGTTTTATATTTTTCTAGTATCGCACAAATAATTTTTTTTTTTCGTTTCTGGAAATTTTTTTAACCCCTTCGATGGTTCCCTAACATAAAAGTTTTGTACTTTTTTATCGCTATAAAATGATTTTGGGCCTCCTGTTAGGACCCTGGATATCGTTATTTTGTATTTACCTAGTACTATTTTGGGCCCCAAAGATAATTGTTTTGTATTCGTTTATTTCCGCAAATTTTTGGGGTCCCTGCAATGGAACCTCAACATAAATGTTTTGTATTTTTTATCGCTGTAGAATGATTGGGGCCCCCTTCTTATGGCGATCACGATCTTGATTTGATATTTATCTAGTACCATGGTATGTTTATCCAAAAATAATTGTTTTGTAAATTTATTATATGTTTAAATCCCTGGAAACAACTTTATATATATATATAGGACCCCTTATACAATATATCTTGTGATATATATTATCCTGATAAGGAGGCCCCAGTTCAGTCTGTAGCCAAGGGCTCCGAACAGAGCTAGTCTTGGTTTTGAACTACTTCCCAAAGTTCTACTTCTAAATTTTATTAGGTGTTGCCTAACATATAACAAGATATAATATAAGTAACTAAACCTACTTTAGTAATTAAACTCTATACGATGTTACTCAGTTTCTGGGTTTATTCTCCTGAATTTAAGATTATATATTGATTCTAACTACAAATCAATCATATTTATTTTGTATATTATTTAGTATTTTTTTTCAGATAGTTTCAAAGCAATTTATTATTAAGATATTTATAATTTTATTAATGATATGTATGGACCTATATCATACATATATGCTAAAACTAATGCACGTGTGTTATGGATGAAAGTGTAAAATATACCATATTTCTATGTATAACATATTGTTCTTTATAGCTCTGCCACTCTTCCAATAACTTTCAAGTGCTTGGAAGAAAACAATGGAATCGATACAAGGGTAACAAGATTTGTAGTGGCAGTAGGTGCAACCGTCAATATGGATGGTACTGCATTATATGAGGCCGTTGCTGCAATTTTCATAGCACAAATGAATGGTATTGAGTTAGGATTGGGAGAAGTAATAACTGTGAGGTTAGTGAAAATTATATCTTGAATTTATATTTATATTTAATTATATTTTAAGTCTATCTTTCACACCACACACAAAATCCTTGAGGTCATTGTACATTATGCCAAAAAAAAAAAGTCTATCATTGAATAATTTAGTTAAATAATATTTATATACTTTCAGTCTCACTGCTACTCTAGCTAGCATAGGTGCTGCATCCATCCCTAGTGCAGCCTTGATAACGATGTTACTGATATTAACAACATTGGGACTTCCAACAAATGATGTTTCGTTGCTATTTGCAGTTGATTGGTTATTGTAAGTGTTTTTTTTATAACTATGCTTTGAGTAAATATGATTACTTTCTTTTAGACTTTTGCTGATTTACATTTTTGGATACATTTCTAATAAGGATAGATGTATTTTCAATAATTATAACAAAATCAATGAAAATTGAATTAATTTTCACTCCATCTTCTTTAAAAATTTATGAGCATAATAAATGAAGGAGTATAACACTCCTTTAAAATGAAAGGAAACTGATCAAAATAGATTTAATGAATAACATTGTTTTTTGTACCTTTTATAATAATACAATAATCATTATTATCAGGTATTTAATCATATTAAAATTAAATTTGACAGAATATGGTTTTAATCAATAAAAAGTATAAGTCAATAAAATTGTAAAATAAAAACAATGTAATAGGACAAGAATCATAAGTTATATGATATTTTTATAATAAGGAAAATAACTTCAAAATATTATATAAAATATATATTTGAATATATGTTCAATATCGAGTAGTAACTTATAAAATATCACAGGTATATAAATAAATTTTGGTGTTTGGTGAATTTGCAACTTTATGTATCACTAACATTTTTGGCTAATACCAGATTATTTTTGTTTCTCACTATCCTTTTAGATTAAATTTACTTACCAATAAAATATACTTACCAATGCAATGAGTGTTTTTGGGGTAGTTTGGTGTTTTGATTTTAATTATATATACATACATATGCTCCATGGGTAGCATGATGGTAATGAAAGCTTTTTATGGTAATAAAAAGGGTTGTATTAACACATTGACAAATTACATTTTTTCTTGTATCAAATTCCAATCTTGATCAATAAATACATTTCCAGAATAAATTGATCTAATAAAACTATTTGGCTTATTTTTTTTTCTTTTTGATGTTTCACTAAATTGATTACTAAGGATAAAAAAATTATTAAAATATTGCCAAAGTATACGTTGTTTAAAATTATTTTTAATTTTATACAAGTTAGATAATTTTAATTTATCTGAAGTTTTAAAATCTAACATACCATTATATGTGTCTTTATCTATATTTTTTGGCTCAATTTGAAAATAAATTTCTGTCCAGTTCAATGGAATATAAACAAAGTATGGTAATAACACTGACTGCTCATCATGGAGTATATTTAAATAACACAGGGCCATTGGCAGCTTATTGTTTTTCTTTCCCTGCCTGAATGTACCTGAATTAATGTTTTCAATTAATAGTCTTTTCTTATTTACACAATGAAGTCGTAGAATCCTACCTATAACTATAATTTCACATCTTTGATGTCTTATGTTTTCTTGAACATTGGGGTATATTACCCCAGTAAAACTTTCAATGATATATTTAACACTTAAACCAACATCACCAATTAAGCTATGCCAGTTACCCCCTAGCCAATTTTTTCTGAACAATATTATTGCTTGAATGTCAGCTTTTCTAACGTCTTCTTCTGTTTTGGCATTATCATAATTAATATCATGTTGTTGAGCTATTCGATCATCTTCATCAACTGGGGTTCCATTATTAATTTTGTTTCCTGGACCTATATATCTATGGAATGGAAGCACAGGCATCACTATTATACATCACAAATGGGCACTTCTTCCTATGGTGGTTAAGGGCAAACTGGCTACAAGGAAACAAACCCTGAAATAGGATTTCTTGAGAGAGTGGGGGGAAAGATTTATTCATAAAGAAAAAACAATTGATAAAATTATTATAGATATATGCACATTGGTAATACAGTAATTAAACATATGTATATTTGTAATAATGTTCAATTAAAAAGAAAAAATATATACATTTAAGTGTTTTATAATTTATTATATTAAGATTGTATTTATTTTTATCAGTTATACTAGATCAATTTCCGTTTATCTTATTAAGTTAGTTTAAAATAAATTTGTTTTCCTTTAATTATGGAGAAGGGCGTACGTTTGTAATATATGTATTTTTTTTTTCTAATGTAGGGATAGACTAAGAACATCTATAAATGTTCTTGGAGATGGATATGGGGCTGGTATTGTTTACCATATGAGCAAGCATGAATTAGATCAAATGGATGCTGAAAGGCATTTGGAAGCTATTGAAATAGGAATTATAAAAGATGTAGAGCCAGTGGAAGAAAATAAACCTAGAAAAAGTTCATTGGTAAAAGACACACAGACCTAAGTGTAAATAAAAATATAAAGAAAATAATTTAAAATATTATTACATCTTAAATATTTTTTTATTAATCCCATTGTCATTAGTGTTAATTTCTGACTTTAATAAACACAGGCAACAGGATTATATAAACTTCAACATTTTTAATTGAATTGTTTATATTAATTTATGTTATCGGGATGAATTTGATATATTTATCATCTTTGTGCTCTAGCTATTCATTGATAATTGAATAAACCAGTAGCCAAAATTATATTATACAAATAATTTAATTTATATTAAATAATTATATCTACCATTTTTTTATGTTAATATTTTTCACTAATGTGATAAAATGGATATATTAATTTAGACAGTAAATTTAGAAAATTATTACAAAGATTTTACTCTAATTTATATTTTAACTGTGTTCTTAAGAAATCTTTAATTTTAACTATTTTAATCTCATTCTGAAGATTAATAACTGTACTATCTGCACTCTACTATTCAATAATTAGCAAAAAATATTATAAGTTAATTTTTAGTATATTTATTCATATATTTAAATTGTAATTGAATTCATCTGTATGTGATTATTTATTTTATTTTATTTTCGAAAATTATTCATAATCTAAGTAATAACATTTATGTAATTTAAAGTTATCTTATGCATTAAAAATATATCTATGATATTACTCTACAAATATAAGTTTTAAAAAAAGAGAAAACTTATTTCACAATAACATACACTTCTTGTTATTAAGTCTAGAATATATTTTTACATTTTAAAAATAAAAAGCTCAAGCCAATTAACATCTAAAAACTTTTTAATATGTAAATCTATATTCTATTTTATATTATGTTTTATTAATGGCCTTCATTTTAATTAGAAGTAGTTGAATTATTTTTAGATCCATTCTTCTTTCATTTATGTGTATATTAAATGCACTGGAAATATATTTATAATACATTAACCAATAAATTATAATTAAAAATTATTTATTATTGAGAATTATTTAATCTAATAGCCTACTATGTAGTATATAACAGGACCTATTATGTATAGGTCACATAATTTATTGAAAAGTACAATTTTATAATACTAATTTTAAATATATTGTTTACTTATCTCTTGTTATTGTACACAATTAGGTTATAGTAATTCTTTTTTATATAACTCTATTTGTTACACATATTTTCCCAATGAAATTGTATTTTCTAATATTTGGTAAAAAAGAAAAATTATCTTTTAAAAATACAATATTTTTCTTCCTCATTTTAGCCGTTTCAATTTTATCATTACTATCTACCTTGGTATCACTCTATAATAAACATTAGTTTTTCTAATTACTTAATATAATAAACCAGAATAAAGTTTGTCATTCTTGTTATTTACTATTTAATTTAGTTATTTTAATACTATTTAATATTATTAATTTAATTTTAGCATTATTATAATTATTGAGTTAAATTGTCACAGCTATGTCATTATAGTGTAATTTTTGTTAGTATTAAGTTTTGATTTCACAAAGATGTATCTCTTTTTATTAAAAGAAAGAAAAAGGAAAAAATAAAAAAAAACATTAATTTCTTAATTTCTTTTTTGTGTGTGTGTGTGTGTGTGTGTTTTATTTAAAACTTGTTTACATAAATCAAGAAAATATTCCAATACACATTTATAATTAATGAAATTATTAATTGATATAAATAAAGATCTTATTATTAATTTAAATATTTCTGTGGAAGAAAAAAGATTCACATTTTTTTTTTAAATTGTAAATCAGGAATACTGTAATATATATTCATATTTGAAAAATTATCACTTTTACACTGTGTAATTTTTTTTTTTTTTTTACATAAAATAGGTAAGGATTTAATTGCTAACTTCTATTTATATCGATTTATTCAAACCTAATTCTATTTATAAAGGCTGTAAGCTATTTTATTAATATCTGATGTTATATACATATGTAGATAGGTATGTTATTATCAGGCATGTTTAAGACAGAATATTAAATAATATATACTTTTTAAAAATTATTTATTGGCAGAAGGAATGATTATACATTTCTTTGGGATTAATTTGTATTAATTAGGAGACTAAGGTCCACGATAGGTTATTGTATCATTGAATCAACTTTTTTTTTTATTAATCATATTAGGTTCAGTACTAATATTCTAGTCCTCTGCCTTCGAGTTATATCACATATGATGAAATCAATAAAGCATTTCAATAGAAATTATAAACAAGTTCAGGTTTAAAATTACATTTACTATTTTGTTAAATGAAGAGCGAGAGGAATCAACAAGTACGAAACTTGCTAAAAATTTAATTTTTTAATTGATTTTAAGAAGTTTTTAGGGAGCATCAGCAACCTAGCTTGAACCCAAAATTTCCTTCAGATATAGTTAAAATGTTTTTATTTTCTTCTTTGTTCAATACAGAATAAAGAAGGATAAAAAAATCAATTAAGAAATGTATAGTGTATAGAGGAACCACACTTTCAGGACCACTTGTTAATTTTCGGACTATTTCAAAATCTAAACTCAAGCATTTATAAACAGATTCGGACAGAAGAGGCCATTAAACAGAGTGATTAGGAATTTCGAGTACTCTCATACTGTATGATTAGCTGCAACATAATCTTAATATATTTTTGCAGTAAGAACAATTGTGCTCTCCCAATTTTAAGCATTTGTTAAAATACCAATTAATGTTCAATCTCAGCATAGTAGTGAAAATAGTTTGTAGTATTTACAAGTTTAAAAATAATAGAAAATGTACTAAATTGTAATGTAAACATAAGTAAAACTAAGTTTAATTTTTTATTAACACCTTGCATTTATTCGAGTAATTTTCAAGTTTCAAAATAGCAGAGAATTTGTTTTTCATGCATGTAATTTTCTAGAGCAGTGGTCTCCAAAACTATGGCCCTCCTAGCACCTACAATCCGGCCCGCGAAAGCTTCTTTAACATCATGGTAAAATTTAAAAAACTATTTAAATATATACAATTTGGTAAATCACTCAAACACGAGCTTATAACAACATTTATTGCATGTGTTGTTTCTTTTAGAATCCCCAAAATGTTTTTACCACAATTCCTGGCTTGCGGGACGTATTGGAGGTTTAAAGGCGGCCCACGGGACTTGTTAGTGGTGGTCTCAATGTGGCCCACTGAACAAAAGACTTCGGAGACCCCTGTTCTAGAGGAATATACACTCTCTTGTCAAAAAACTCTGATATATTGAAACAACTCTTTACTTTTTATTCTTTTTTGTTTATCATCTAAAATTGTTCAATTAAACATCACGCGTGAAAACACGTTTTAAGAAAGTCATTAGTGTTTCGAGTTATATAATGTTCAATGCTTATACTCTCCTCTAGTGTCCAATTATGATCAAAAATATAAAATATGATGTAATAAATTCAGTTAGTACACATGAAATAACAAACTGGGTCTTCATTCTCCACTCACCCCCTCCAGCTATCGAACATTTCAATTAAGGTACCACTGATAAATAGTATTAAATTTTTGAAACACCAATAAATTGTAATTTGGATTCGTTTTACATATGATCAAACAACTGCTTATCATATCAACTGGGATTTTTTTTTTATACTGTATTAATTTCATAATCTTTGTTTATCAAATACCTTCATATCTTAAAAAATGACTTATTCCGAGTTACAATTGCTCAAAGATAAAAAAGTCAATGACAATAATTGGTCATGTTTGGTTATTTTGTTAATTGAAGGCAACCCGAACAGCATGAGTGGAATAGATTTATTCGAAAAATGTGTCCGTTCAAGTAAAAGAACAGATATTCAGAATTTAACTCCAACAGATTTAGAGGCATTGTTGCCAAAAGATAAATTGGCAACGAAAGATGCATCTATACAAGAAATTCATAATGTTGGCGACAAGCATGAAAACATGGAACATGGCTTTAAAGGCTCTTCAAGTATGCTACATGCATTACTATTAAAAAAATATATTTTAGAATATAAGGTAAATGATCTAGCCAAACGAGCTGAAACGATCCGATATTTGTTAAACAATGAAATAATTTTACCAGATTCTGATACTTCCCTAACTGAACCTGATTACGGAGCTTTTTGTTATTTCGTATTAACCAAATTTTACGATCCTTTTTTAATAAAAACATTACTACAAATTGAACTTCCGCTAGTAGCAGTATTCGAATTAACGGTTGAAGGAGAATTCTACAGAAGGAAATCTCTGAATAATATGTTATTTTTGGAAGAATTGAAGCAACGTTTAGATTCAATCGATAATTTTTGGGACGAATTTATGGTACAATTAAACGACCCAGAAAATATAGATATGTTTTCAGAATTTTTATTCCTACCCATCAAAATAAGCTCTGAACAATGGCACAATAAAAAAAGAGCAGATGTCCTATTAGAGTATATATTATTGAAGTTATTATCAATAAATAAATTAATGAGAAAGTTCATTCATTATATCAATAACATTGAATTAATCGATGCACCAACGATTCTTACTGAAGGAAAAATGGATATTTATAATAAACTTTTAGATTCCATTCCTCTAGA